GCTGAGGTGTTGACAGTAAGTTGGCAAAGCCTGGATCCATTGGTCTTGCTGCACATGCACCACGTAACTGAGCTGCGTGTGCTTGGTGGCCCTGTACTCTGGAAGTCTGGTGGCCTTTGTGGAACTACCTGCCAGTGCTGGGAATGCCTGTGGGGTGGCTGCTGTTCTCTGTGGGCTGCTCTTTGTCAGGAAATCCCAGGCAGGTTGTCTCTACTGGCAGAAGTCTCCGGGGTGACAGCAAGGAGGGAAATGTATCTAAGTCAACCCAAAAACTTGGTAACCTTATTTATATGGAAAGCATTCTGAAAATTCAAGGCAACAGATACAGATGATATGGTTGGAGATGGGAAACTCTTAGATATTGAAAAATATAAAGGTCCAGGATGACTAGTCAGTAATCCTAAATACCGTACTTGGAAGTTAATAAAAATGTCTAAGAAGCTGCTATTGTCTGTGTTCGTTCTTATCCACAAACTATTGTTCTGATGTTTATAAATGGTAAATAAAGACATGGATATTGTTGATTAAATTGGTTTTTGAAATACAATGGCATCTCTTTGAGTGTAAAGCTTGAAAAGCACATGAGCAGAGAGAGGAATGCTGAGGAAAAAAGGCTGTCTTTTGGAGTATATTAAAAGAAAAATAAAAAGGAGGAGAGGCTTCTTTTTGTCTGTTCTAGTAAAGTTTAGGAAGACCAAACAACAAAAAAGGAAAACTGTATAGAGGAAGATCTGGCTGCCATGATCTGTGTGCTTAGGGAGTTTTATATTTAGTGCACTTAAAATTAAAAGTGATAAAACAGTGGTAGTTGAAGTAAGGAATTTTATATTTTTCTGTTTCTGTTTTTGAAAGACCATCCTAAAATCTCTTTTTATTTGTGATGTCAGCTCATTTTGAGTACTGTAGAACAGATGTTACAGAGCAGGCTGGGCCCCTGGAAATTTTCTTTGTAGTGTGCTATATTAAAAAGAATGGACGGAAATGAGGGTATAGAAACTCTTGTTCTTCTAGCTGAAGAGCTTATTGCTCCCAGATGCTTTTATGTGCTCCTCCATTCTCACTGCAGTCACTCCTTGCAGAGAACTCCTTGCAGTACTGGGATTCATCAGTTTCAAAAAGGAGGTGGAGATTTGCATAACTGAATGTATTGGAAATGGCAGAATGTGGCTGCATAAACTTGGAATTGAAGCAGGAGCCTAGTTGGATCAGTAACAAGCATGAAAACATCAGGTTGTGATGGCAAGAAAAGAATTCTAGGTACCTGATTATCCAAATAATTTTGTACCGCATATAGGTCCCTTTGAGACTTGAAAATTTTAACAGAGCTTGAGTCTACTTAAATGTGGGAGGGCAAAGTGATCCCTAGGTAAGGTGATGCAAGTGTAGGTCATGGAAATCTTTTAGTGGCTAAGAATTTGCTGCTATTGAGCAGATAATAAAGTTAGTATTTTACAAAAGCACATAATTTTTATTAAATGAAGCGGGTGTACACAGTTAGTTAAATGTTTTATGATGTGTTTCACTTGCTGTTGTAGACTGTTTCCTGGTCACTGGTATTTGTGAAGAATGAAAGAGGCTGTAGGACTTGTGTGAGGATAGTGTGTTGTGCTGAGCCAACCACTGGTACGGCTCCAGCAGTGCGTGTTAATTTTGTGTAAGAATTATGTGCCTTTTCAGAAAACCAAAAATACAGGGCATCTGAGGAAAACCTGCTAGGCCAGGTTTTCTTTGTAAAATGACCCTTGATCTGGGGTAGATCCACAAAGGCATTTAAGTTCCTAACTCCCATCTGGGTAACAAAAATTGCCTTGAAATGTGTGGGGAGTTAGAAATCAAATACATATTTTTAAGAAACTTGGCCCTGTTATACAGGTCATTGAGAAGAATTGTATGCTGTCTTTAAAAAATATATTTAGAATTACTCTTAGGAAAACTCTTAATAGAGCTGATACAAGACAATGAACATCTGAAAGCTTGTAGAGAGGTTGTGTGTTATTTGCATCCTTTCCATCTCACCAATTTCTTTTGGCAAATCCTTCTTCCTTCTGTTCACGTGTTGTTACTGTTACACAGCTCTTGCTATATAGCACTAAAAAACCCCAAATCAATCCAGGCTTTTACAGTAGTATATAAATCCTTGCACGGCTACAAGAGCAGTACAGAGCAGTACAGCTTTGATTTAGAAAACTCCACTACAAACCTCACAGTTTGGGGTTGTAGGCAGTGACATGAAAATAACAAACCAAGAAGGACTTTACAGTATCTAAATGAGGGCAACAGAGAAAGCTGCTGACATTTTGCCTGCAGTTGAAGTGGGTAAACATAAAGAATAAAGGGATGGGAGGTGGGCAGTTGGGATTAGCACAAAGCAAATAACATTTTAAAAGCTTGCTTGACTCTTATCATTCATATTAGAAGATACCTGATCCTGCTGATGGCAGGGGGGTTGGAACTAGATGATCTTTAAGGTCCCTTCCAATCCAAACCATTCTATGATTCTATACATTCTTCAGGAAGTAACCACTAACCTACCAACAGGGACTGTAGAAGGCACTACTAGTTGGCTCTGTTTAGTCTTTAACCCTGTCACTCCCAGTATTAGTCATCATTGCTGGTTCCTTAGCAGATACTTGGAGTAAGAAGGACAGCAGCAAACTGTGGTTTTACTGTGTAGTAAAAGCAATGAAGGATGGACCTAATGAGAATAGCAGCATGAGAGTTCTGAGGAGAAGTACACAATTAAGCATGGTATTTCAAGTGGCCAAAACTTTGTACAATGCTGTGTTCTTCAGAGTCAGCACCACAGCAAGTGCCTCTTTAGGAGCACTGTTGCCAAGAATGACTTTGTGGAAGAAATATGATCTTGATGGATTTCAGTTATTCAGGTGTCCCATGACATAACAGTGTAAATATGTTGCTGTTGATACTGTCCCTCAGTTCCACCTCTTTATTTAAATATATGTGATGTATCACTTAGAAGTTTCCCCAAATGAATAAACTCCCTGCTGAAATTAAGTGAAGAGAGAACATGCTCGAATATTTGAAGACCTTCCCTTCAAAAAAAGAAAAAAAAGAAAAAAAAAGTAATTAAGAAGAAAGCTTATGGTATAGCTGGGGCTTTTTACAGTATCTTTTGTAGGGTGAGGAGGTTTACAGTTTTAATTCACCTTCACCACAGCCAAATATTCCTCTTAGTCTTTCCTGTTTATTTCCATAGCTGTGTAGGACAGATGGATGATTGTGCCCCTGCCCCTTTTTTGTTTCAAAGGGAAGGGTGATGATTCCTGCCTTACTGTGCCAAGGGAGCTGTGTCTGTGCTTAATGATCATGCTCTGAGGACTTAACTGCTACCTTCTCCTCCTCACACTGCTGCTGCTGAGAGAAACATCTTGAGAATTTGGTTTCACAATAAATGGATCATGCTTATGAGAAATAAACTGGGAATACGTTGGGATTTTTCTTTTGTGAAACAAATTGCCCTGCAAATAAGAAGTGTTCTTCAGTAAGGAGAAAATGAGCATGTGATTGCTTATATTCTCGTAGTCTAGAAGACAGACAGTAGGTTTTCCAGTGCTCTTTTTACAATAAAGAAGCTTTTTTTTTTTAATCTTAGGAGAAAAGTTGGATTAAATCAATCTAAAACAGTGAAGCACGATGCCCACAAAAACCTTATCTTGCGCTAAAACTAAGGTGAACAGGACACTTAGCGTATTCATTATTTATCTACAGGAAGTTATTTTGCCTTTTTCTTTTCTTTCTTTTTTTTTTTTCTTAAGTGCTATGGATAAGCTTTGAAACTAGAAGAATGTGGGAAGGCTCTTCATTGCAAGATTAAAGCAGAAAACCCTTAGCTCTAAATTACTATGCAGCAAAGAAAGTAGCAGAGCGGGTTTGGCAACTCCAGTATAATTGGATATTATTTTGCTGTTTAATGTTAAGCCTAAATGTAAGAATTAATCTTTCAAGGTTCTGACAAGGGAATGTAGAAATTATGCAAATGGAATGCTATGGTGACAATTAAAACGGAGAGAATTCAGCCTCCGAGTCAACATGTAAACTGTGTGAGTGTCTTGCAGAAACTGTCCCCTCTTTGTACTTTAATCTCTCTGTCCTAATATAGGAGCCTTAAATGATCATCAGGATATATTTAACCATATTTTTTTTTTACAGGAAGTGGTAGAATTGGCCCTTAAATTCTCCATATTTTTAAGAACTTTTACCTTGCAATTCTTTGTACAGTCAGAGTAAATTGTTTGTGATCCTTAGAGTGATCAAAGATGTGGAAAACAAGGGTTTAGCAGTTACTTTGTCTATTTCAGGAGTTGTTTTTTAAAAATATTTATGTACTTAGACAAACAAGTGCTCTGTGTATTTATTTCATTATCTTCACTGAAATCAGATAATTTATTTCCCTATGGTCTTTGCTAGATAAAGATCTGTATAAACTTGGGTCTTCTTACCACATTTTGCGTCTGCTTAAATTGCTGCAGCAGAAGATGCATGGGTATTGTATTTACCTTCTTCAGAATCCTGGTTTGCACATAGTTGAATAGAATGTTTCAAAATTTGCCCTTGAATTGAGAGCAGTTTTGAAGCATTTCAGCCCAAAAGGGAACTTCTATAAAAATGCTGACTCCTGAGTTTAAAAGAACACAGCCATATCAGTCCTAGGTAAAACATGACTGCAGCTATACCATAAATAGAGGTAATAGTCCTGGTCTGAGACTCAGTAGTGAAAGTGGCCTGCTCTCTCTTTCCAGTTGGGTTCCTATGAATCATTAAGAATCTCCTCACCAGTAGTCAGGCACTCTGTGGTGAGCCACAAAAGAGAAACATTAAACCAATTAAAGAAGAGCTTAGAGAAATCAAGCTGGCATTATCTGGTACATCTTCTGATATGGAAATAGTTTTTTGGAACTGTGATGAATAGTTTGGGGGAGGTGTTGTATGTTTGGCTTTTTTTAAGTACATCTTTTTTTCCTCTTTGAATTTTTTCTTAGACCTTAGTAGTGTCATGAATTCAACTTCAAATATAAAGGCTGTGAATGGAAAAGCTGAAAGTAGTGATCGTGGAGCAGAATCAGAAGAAGAAGAAGAAGAAGGGCTTAATGAAGAGGAAGAAAAAGAACTGCAGCTGAATGGAAAGGGTATGTTTTCTGCACTTGGACCACTGACTCTTCCAAAGTTATTCTTAACCACCTAAGTGGCAGAAAAACCCAAAGGATCATGAATCTGTACTTTTTCAGGAGAAATAGATGCAAATACATGTGGATGCCTGTGTGAAAAATGGCAGTGTCTCAACCTGGGTTATAAGATTTAGAACTAGTACAAATTTGTGAGCTATACCATACGATTTTTTACATGGCTAGAAAGTTCTGTTAGTAGGCTGGCTAAAAATCTATATCCTATATTGTTTTGGTTTTTTGTTGCCAGTGCTGTTTGTAAGACCTGTGAATGGCTACCTGGGCTGTAACAGTAGCATTGAAAATAACTTTTTTTTCTTCAGAGAAAATAAAACTGAACTTTCAATGAGATTCATTTAGGGAGTCCATAAAGAGTTTTGAGAAATGCCAGCACCAAGTGAAAACCAAATGAAATTACATATTTAGAATTCTATACAGGTGTTTTGCTCCAAGGACATTAGGATTATTATTTAGTTTATCAGACACACCTACTTTGGATTTGCTTCCTTATGTTTTAAATATGATCTGCTCTTTATGCAAATTAATTTTTATATTTACACTTGTTACAAGAACAGAGCAATCCCTGCGAATGTGAATCTAGGAGCATTTATATATTTTATTCTTGTCCTGGTTTTGCTAGGATAAAGTTAATTTTCTTCTTAATAGTTAGAATAGCTGTGTTTTAGTTTCAGGATTTGTTATGAGAAGAATGTTGGTAAAGTACTAATGTTTTTAGTTGCTGCTGGAGCCCAAGGACATCATGTTTGGGTAGTTTGAAAGTACAGAGGACTGGGAGGGAGAAGCACAGTGAATAGCAAAACCCAGAACTGGCATTTGGATGTGCCAGTGAGATATTCCATCTCGTATCACATCATGTCAGTATATTAACCAGGGCTGACCAGAAGACAGGGTTTTTCTCTCGGGGATCACTCAGGCTCGCTCTTCCAGGATTGAGGTTTTGTCTCCGGGATCACTGGCTGGCACAGGCTGGGCATTGGTCGGAGGGTGGTGAGCAATTGCACTGTGCATCCCTCACTTGTATATTCTGTTATTACTGTTAATATCATTATTGTTTTATTTTAATTAGTAAATAGTTTTTATCTCAACCCGTGAGTCTCCTTGCCCTTATCTTTCCAGTTCTCTCCCCTACTCTCTGGGGAAAACCACCACAGTTCTACAGATACATTATACATACAGTCCACTAGAAAGTGAGCTACTTGAAGAAATACATTTTGAGCTATTTCTGTTTACAAGGTTTTCTTGTTCTTTTACAGACCATAAGAGTGTGAAACTAGAATCAGCTAAGGATTTGGAAAATATTGTTACTAACGGCTGTTACAAGGACAGCTTTATCCCAGATATGCAGAACGGCATCCAGACCAAATCTGCACTGAATGGTTTGAACTCGGAGGAAGAAATAAAGAAAACAGAGCCAAGCCTAGAATTGGCTAATAACAGTGCTCACCAAGGTATTGTCCTTACAAGACCATGTTTTAATTTGCATGTTTTTCATGGCAAATACTTCTTTTCTTGAAAGCTTAATCCTGGGATTCAGATACTAGCAAAGATGTCTTTCAGTTGTAGAAATCTGAAGAAAGAATATTAAAAAAAATAATAATAAAATGTAATATCAGTTTAAATTAAGGCTTTCTTTCCTACAGAAAGAGAGATTAATTCAGAGACAGAGAGACCCAAAACCACAGAAACACAGTTTTCTTTTAAAATCATTATACTACCTATTTGCCTTTGAAAGCTAATTTGTAGTGAAATAAAAATTACTAATATCTCTTGGTCATTCTGAAAGGCTGAACATATTATAAATGCCAGTTTGTTGAAACTGATGTCTAAATATATTATTTTAGAACTAACATAACTTTATGCAAAACTACTTTATACTGAGTTTAAGAAGGAGAATGGAATGAAGAATGTAAAATTAAAATTATCAACTTATAATGTAGAAATGCCAATATTGGGCATAATTTTTCCATTAGTAAAAGTTTTATGTAATTCCTATATTAATATAGCCTCTTTATTCAGTTTAGGATGACAGTAGTAGATAAAAGGGGCGTGAGTTGAAGGTCCCTATGCACTTTAACTCATTACTTTACTCTTTGCCAGGACCGGCTCACATTTACAAAGCCTGTGTGCCTATCTCCTTTTCACACAGGTGCAAATGAAGAGAACACTGAAGAGGTCTCAGCAACTCAGCACTTAACCAGTGATTCAGACAGTGAAGTTTATTGTGACTCTATGGAGCAACTGGGACTAGAAGAGGTAAGGGCTCAGTATTCCTAGGTGTATTTTGAAACTGGTATGCTTATTTTTAAATAGATTCCTTTTTACCTGGTGAACTTGGACATGCAGAGGTGAATGAAGTAACTCTTGTGTACCTTTCTCCTGTTTGGACTATGAGGTTTTGTTCTTTTTATTGTCAGTCTTGTACAACTTGGTTACAACTGATCTAAAAGCCTTGAAATTTTTGCCCTCAAAGAATTTATGTGAGGGGAAGGTATAAAAACCTGCAGTACAAAGAAACTAAAGGCTATGTCCACAGATGCATTTGGGGTCTCATCGTGTATGTAGGGACCAGAATCCAGCTATCTCTAAGAAACAGGGAGTGTCTTTGTAACAACGAGCTTTTTGTGTGCTCTTTTTCTGGCCTGATGAATTCTGCATTTGTTTCTTAGAAAAAATAAATAGTAAGCTTAGCAGATGGCCTGTAGGCTAGTGCCTGAAAGTAGCCTAGGTCTAAAGAAGTGGGAGATGACAATGATTTCTGGGTTCTGCTCTACTCTCTTGAGCTGTAATGTTCACCTCTAACTTTCATACAAAAGGTGGGTGCCAACTGTGCTGCTTAGATTTGACTGAATTTGTGCTCCTGCTGATTGTATTAACTGTAGTCTTAGTTGACTCCTTCAGAGGTCCGGTTTAAATGTGGACTTTGTAGATTGTATTCAAACACCTAGTTTCCTAATTCTGGGGGGGAATATACAAATGATGCATGGGATCATAAAGACCAGTAAGCACTCTAATATTGCATCATTCTCTCGTCTAGCTGTTTCCTGAGGATCTAGAGAATTCCTTTGAGCAAATAAAAATTTTACCCACTAACGAAGCATGCTGGGAAAGGTGATTGGTAGAAGTGCTGCAAGCTCTCTTATCTGGGTGATTTCCCAATCATCTTGTGTATCGTTCAAGCTTGTTTGAGATTCTTTAATTGAAGTGGGTGGATAATGTCAGAATTGCACAACCTGCATGAGGAAAGTTCTGTTTTTGAACAAAGTAACAAATGTTCAGGTATATGTAAATAAATATACAAGTAGAAAAAGATTGAAAAGATGTAGCACACACTCTGTCCTTCAGTTCTGATGATACAGGTTTATGAACTGCTGTTTTACAAATGGGATTGTGGCAGCAGATTCCATTTCTTTCCCCCTCCTTTTGGTTATTTTGACTTTTTCATGGAGTTACTTTTCAGCTAGCTGAGGTCCCTGGTCTGCTTCAGCATATAGTTTTGCAAGTGTTCAGTGCTTGTCCTTTCAGTTGAACACAGGTTTGCTTGAACCACCTTAAGGCAGTCCTGCTGCAGAACATGTCATTGTGACCTGATCAGCGCACATGTAATCTGTTTTTAGTATCTTCCTACAGTACCACTGATTTAGAATGAGAAGTTGGTAGAATGATGTGCCTTTTGGTGAGAGGTGCAGGGTGCAGCCAAGCTGGTTTGTACAGGTTGATAATAAACTACATGATCTCTTTGCCATGAGTGTAAATGCTGCCTACTCAAGGTTGCTAATAGCACATGACTTTTGACAGTGTGGCTCATGAATCTGAGTTAGGATACCACTTCGCTGTCGAGGAAGCAAAGCCAATTTTACAAGGGAAAATGGAACATTTTCAGTTCTTAATGTTCTATTTTAGTGATGTTGTTCCAACTGTATGTTGGAAATGTCTAAAGTAATTCCAAGTGGTATCACTGTTTTGAGAATATTTGCCTCAAATGCATGTCTAACCTTTTCAATCTGAAAAGGACACTTAGACAATAGTAAGCACATTCTATAGGAAATCAATTACTCCTGTTAAAATAAAAGTCTTAATTCTGGGCAAACTATTTTCTTAAAGTGAAAGTAGAGATGATGCTTCTTCCTTTTTATTGGTTAACTGTCACATTTTACAGAATTTAATTACTTGCTAATGTTAATTTGTAGCCCTTGGAGATCATCACAACAGCTAAAGGATCTTTAAAGCATTCATCCCATTTCTTGGATGTAGATCACAATCTTCTGTTAGAAAATACGGATTTTCCAAGGTGTACTTTCGTGACCTATGGGAACCTCCAACCGGGAAATACTGTAGAGGGAGCAGCTGAAGAACAAGGTGAAGTCAAGTGTGGAGGAGAGGATGGCAAAGCCAGTAATGGGGCCCCTCACAAGGAGAAGAAAGGTGGAGAAAAAGCAGATTTCTACAGCATCAGAAGAGGGAGAGGTACTGTGCATGCTGCTTTGGTTTTCCCCACTCTCCTGACTGCCAAAAGTTACTAGTGCCTGAGAAGCACTTGTCAGCATTGTCCAGTGAGACAGTCATGCTGTATAGAGCTTCGGTCCTTCACAATAAAAATAGATTCAGTTCAGGAGGGGGAAAATTGAACTGTTAAAATCAAACATTTTCAGTAGAGTTGGTAGCCCATTCTCTGTTTTATGTGTCTATTTTTTTCTCCCTCACCATAGGACACAGACTTCAACCTCTAGGAGATGGTTCACAAGGTGGACAGATGGGTAGTGGAGGGGACGGAGAGCGCTGGGGATCAGACAGAGGACCCAGGGGTAGCCTCAATGAGCAGATTGCGGTAGTGCTGATGCGGTTGCAAGAAGACATGCAGAACGTCCTTCAGAGGCTGCATATGCTGGAGGCAGTTACAGCATCACAGGTATTATTAACTGAAGTTACTTGATTACTTTTTATTAAATTTCCTGAGATATTTTTATGCTTTTTCGGATAAAAATTTCAGACAAACTGTAGACACATTTCAGTTTTACTCTGTAGTTTATTCCAACTTAAAATTTCTTATCAGTACCTATTTTCAGGAGCACAATTCAGGACTCTTGTACATGTGAGCCAAAGCATGCATTTTGACCTAGAAATTGACCATATATTATTTTACTGATTTCTGATCAGACTGCTCTAGGCCATAATTATTGATAGAGACACAGTCACTATATGGAGATTCCACAGTTACTGTTAGTAATATGTGATCCCAGATAATTTCTTCATCAGATCTCAAAGCATTTTCAAAGGAAGTGAGAAATTATCTTAATCTTACAGACTGGTAAATGTTTGCACACAGAACTTCTAATTCCATTTTTCAGTTAGCAGAAGACGCATTCTTCGCCTGTGAAGTAATTGATCTTTCTTGGAATTTAGCATGTATACAAGATAGGCAAAAGAAGTCTTAAGCAAGTGTTGATATTTATTGATGTAGTGTTTTTTTCCCTGTATTTACGTGGAAATACCGTATATTTGGGAGAATAGAATATGCTGTGAATATAGTTGAACCAGCAACCTAAAAATGTTTGGTTTTGTTTGACTTGCTGATACAGTTTGATCTACCAGAGAATGAGAGAGCTATACGAGCAGTGTCCTATGGGATACACATACTCCAAATCTAAGGCAGACAGGGAAAAGGAATTATTAAAACCATTACTTTGCTCTGTCACAGCTATTGGAGAATTGGATGTTTGGATACAGATTGATTTTCTTTTTTTGCCTGGGCAATATATGAAGAAATAGTAAAAGGTTCTTCCCTGGCAGCTCACGCTGTTCATTCGACAACCGCTTGGGCAAATTAAGGTGCTAGGTTGCAGCTGCTGGGACTGGACCAGAGTTGAGGAAATTGCAATGACAAGTTGGGCAGGGGGGCCATGAAAAACTGTAAAGAGGTCCAGTAAGTGACACTGATGCATTTTTTAACACACAGAACTGTGATAAAAATGCTGTAAAGACTAATGGAAGCATGAGAGGTAAGTTGGAAACTAAGTGGTGGAAGCGGGGCGACGTGAGAGTGGTTCTAAGTCTGTAACAAAGTAAAGGAAAATGTTCCTTTCTAGGGATGAGATTAAGGATAGTAAGTATTGTGCTTTAAACTGCCATATGTAGAGACTGCAAAGCCTTCAGAAGATGAAACATTTTGTATTATCATTTTGGGAAGCAGAAGAGTTTTACTTGTAGCTTCCTTCTTGATACTTACCAGCCTTTGTTTGTATTTGAAGGCAAGATCTGCATCACTACAGTCAAATTATCAGCCTGCCCCCTCTGTCAAGGTAAAATACTGTTTTTTCTTTTTGTAAAATCAGTGTGAATGGTGGAAAAATATCTAGCTCTTAGTATGTGCTTTTTGTATTGTTTCTCCCTTGACTAGGAGATAAAAAATAATCTGTGTCTGAAGAATTTATCTGATAGATTAATCTTTTTTTCTGGTTTTACCAGTATTTTCTGCTTTGATACTGTAGCATTTGAAGTGTTTGTGAAGTATACCTGGTATTCAATGGGTGCACACAGATTGTTAACTGTAATTTTTTCTGTTTTCCTTAGAAACCATCGTGGTGGCCCTTTGAAATTTCTCCTGGCATTTTAGCTTTTGCTATTGTATGGCCATTTATTGCCCAGTGGTTGGTACACGTGTATCTTCAAAGAAAGCGAAGGTAAAAACTTGCATTCAATAGGGCACGTATTCTGTAGTTCCTCTGTTTAAACCAGTACGCAGTATATCGTGTTATTTAGACAGGACATAAAATACCCTCTTCAGGCATAAGAAGAGTGCAAGGGTATGCTCTCAGTAAGGCTTTGACAGTGTGTCTGAAACACCAGGGCAGTATCAAAATGGGGAGCTTTGATATAATTGCTTTGATAAATCCTGTTTCCCCGAGTTCTTTGTTTCAGGACATGTCTTGCTTAACGTTCCATTCTGTGTATCGGTGACTCACAGCCCTGAAGACACACACTGTTGCTAAAGCAGATTGTACAGTAGAGTCCTTGGTGTGGTTATGATAGGAAGGTGCGTGTTCCAGTCTCAAAAACTCAAGCCAAATGCGCAACAAAAAATACTGGAAGCTAGTAGGAGTGCCTTCCGTTAGCTGGGAATTCTAGAAACAGACATGTGTAGTTTTCTTTGCTTTGAAAGTTTCTCAGCATAAGAATTCACAAATCAGTTAATTTGACTTTATATGTGGTATGTTTTATATTTGGTAATTTAGATTAAATCCATGAAGTGTGATGCAGAATAAATAATTTCAGTGAGCACACACGAGTGGTTGAGGCTGGATAGCTTGGAGCTTTCTCTATGACATTCTTTGACCTTCTCACTCCCAATATCTTCCTGAGCTATTTTCACTGTTTCTAGAGTCCATAGTCCCCATTTGTCATGAGAAAATTTCTTCCTATCAAATTCTTTGCAGAGTCCCATCTGTCACCTGTTTCTCATTTAACATTTACTAGCACCTTACTACGATATTTCTGTAACACTTCCTTCAGCTGACGGACAGTTGTACTCCCATCTCACCTTTTCGCAACTGTCTAAACATCAGAAGATCAAGTGAACACTCTCTGGTTGCTACCCACTTACTCACTTTGTTAGCTTAGTGTGCTCTTTCTCCCTCTGTCAGTCTGCAGCGAGTCTGCATGTGTGGGCATCTTACTAGAACTGGCTTAAACTGTTCTAGCTTTTTAGTGTTTGAAAGTTTTCATGGTATGGTGTTCTCTCATATGGTAAATCACAGAGATACAGAATGGTTGAGGTTGGAAGGCACCTCTGGAGGTCATCTGGTCCAACCCCCCTGCACAGGCAGGAACACCTAGAGCTGGTTGCCCAGGACTGTGTCCAGATGGCTTTTGAATATCTCTAGGGAGGGAGACTCCACAGCCTCTCTGGGCAACCTGTGCCAGTGCTCATCTCTCCTCATAGGAGAGATGCTCCAGTCCCTTAGTCATCTTCATGGCCCTTTGTTGCACTCTCTCCAGTATGTCCATCTCTTGTGCTGAGGGACCCAGAGCTGGACACAGCACTCCAGGTGTGGCCTCACCAGTGCTGAGTAGAGGGGAAGGATCACCTCCCTCAACCTGCTGGCAGGGATAACGCAGCTTGTGATACCATTGGCCTTCTTTGCTGCAAGGGCACGTTGCTGGCTCACTGTCAACTTGATGTCCACCAGGACCAGGTCCTTTTCTGCCAAGCTGCTTCCCAGCTGAGCAGGCCCCAGCATGTACTGGTGTCTGGAGTTGTGCCTCCCCAAATGCTGGACATTGTACTTTCTCTTGTACTTCAGGAGGTTCCCGTCAGCCCATTTTCCCATCCTGTGGAGGTCCCTCTGATGGTAGCACCACCCTCTGGCCTATCAGCCACCCCTCCCAGTTTTGTGTAATCTGCAAACTTGCTGTGGGTGCAGTCTGCCTCATCATCCAGATTATTAATAAAGATGTTAAACAGGACTGGACCCAGTACTGACCCCTGCCATTACTGACACCACTAATTACTGGCTTCCAACTAGACTTCTGCCGCTGATCACCACCCTCTGGGCCCAGCCCATGGTATTGTAAACAATGCGATGCCCACGAAGGCTCCAGGTCTGCCAGGGAGTTACCCCGTCCCAGAACTGTCATTAGCAGCATTGATGGTACTGGCACTGTCTGGTGAAACCAGAGATTTCCCTACTAAGGCTTTTCGGCAGTTCCACACATTTTCCTTATTTTCTGCACTGGTAAATGGAGATTTCCATCTCATCAGCAAGGACAGGTTTTTAAAAGCAATACAATTTTTTTAGTATCTTATGTGAAGCTCCTGTGAATTTTAGTGTTGTTTAGCTAATAGCTCTCAAATGGCCGTGTTCTCTCTCTCTCTCCCCAGTATGCTGTTCTTGTAAACCTCTTGTGATCATCTGTTCTGTCCTCTGTAGCGCCCTCAGTCCATGCACAGGTTCACTCAGAAATCAGTTTTTAGGAAAGTGTCCTTTTCAGCATTTTTTTCTAATATATTGTTTTAATGAATCAGAGCTTAAATTACTAAACAAATGGTACATTATTCTTTAGTTTGGATTTGTCCAGCTTCAGCTTTCATCCATTGGAGTTTCCTTGTTCTACTTGACAAAGAGCCCACGATGTGTTTTCCTCGGGTACTTTATTGCTATCACCAGGTCATCTCTTAATCTCTTGCTTAAACAAATCAGATGGAGCAACTGCAATCTCATTTTAAAGTTGTTTTCCAACCTTAGGATGGTTCTGGTGGCTCCTTCCCGAATGTTTATCAGTTATGGACACAAGGATTTGCCTGCTAACAGTAATGCCAGTATCTCTGTGAGACACAGAGACAGCATAGCCCCAGATAGGCCTTGTTTTGTTGACTCATTCATGGATTGTATTAAAGATGAGACGAACTTCAAGAACAGAAACAACTGAAGATATTTCTGTGTTCTTCAGTTTTCCTCTTTGTTTCTGAAGAGATTTACCCATAGCCAGAATTTAAGGACTATCTGCTTCTGAATCACCTTTCAATCCAGAGTTCCATCTCCTTTAGCAATGGGTAGGAAGTTGACCAAATACACAGAGAGAAAATGGAATTGCAAAACAAGAGTCCTTCTCTGTTGTCCGATTGCCGTTGGTAATCTCTTAAGGTGTGGAAGCTTCTAGGCAACAGCTGTAGGCAGTGCAGATATTGACCATATCTACGTGGTTTTGGTGTTAAAATACACAAACTGTTCCGGAGCAGAAACCAGGAGTCTGGGCCACTGCGTGAGGTTTTCTCAGCCATAACTCCTGAACTCTTTTGCACAGTGGAGCAAACTCCATGGAAGTGGTGGAGAGAAGGCCTCCTGGAGCCTGTCCCTGGGAAGGGGTAGCTCAGCTCACTCTTAGCACCCGCTGTACTGCCTTCTGGCTGGTTTAGGTCTTCTGAGCCTCTTAACCTGCCTCATTCTTTTATAGGGAACTTAATGCTGAAAATCTGGGTACTCATACTGGAGCCTTCACTGAAGAAAGGTTGAAAACTTCAATCCTAAGGGCTCTAAAACCAGATCACAGATAGAAATACATTTTTTTATCATAACTGAGAGTTGTTTAGATTCAGCTAAAAATTTTAGAACGTTGATTGCATGTTTTCTGGAGCCACTGGAAAACCAGCTCATAAGTGTTGCTCTGCTGTGAGACAGCAAACCACTGACAGATGCGGTCAGGGACTGTTCTGAGGAATTTCTTCTGCAGTTCGGAATTCTTAGTGATATTTTGCACTCCTCGGTGTAAGTTGTGCCACTTCTATAAACTTACAGGTTGTTTTTGTAACTTAAGCTGGCGAATTTTCAGGTATCTGGAAGCAGTGTTCTATTTTAATGGACTGGAAATCATTCACATGCAACCTTAATTTATTTATTTAGACAAATGAAAAACCATCTTATATGTGAAGGTACATTAATTTATTTGGTTCCTTTTCTAGAAAACTGAACTGAGAATTCATGACTTTGCTTAAAGACTGCTAGGAGAAGAGGCCCTGGAAAGCGAAGGAATTCTGAATTCTCATAGAATCTCAGGATCTCGGCTGATGTTCCTTCTGTTATAGTCATATTTTGTACTACCTTTGAGCTAAACATTTAAGGACTAATGTTACTGAAACTTGAATGATTCACAGCTCCTAGGTTACAAATAAAATAAATTTACTAATTCCATCCTCAAAACCATATGAAAATTAATTATTTTGGAATGTGCTTGTGGATGGGACTTCAGTAATTCCTGGTCTTGCTGATGGCAGATGATGAAGAGAATACCATCTTTGGAAAAGAACAAGTGAAAAATATGTAAAACTGTCACTTTAATATTGAAAGAATTTTACAATCATAACGTCCCTGCCTGTTTTTCCACAGGGCTACATGGTATCAGATGAAAGCACTAATTAATAAAGTATGAATTAAATACGTTGTAAGCTGTTGGAAAAATAGAATATAGGTCTGAAGAATTCAGCTGGTTATTTTTGCTGCTAAACTATGGGGGGGGGCTGAAATTTCCATGTAAATTGGTCAGAAATGGAAGCGGACGCTTCACTTGTCCTTTAAGACTGTAAAGGAGATTTAGGAATTTATCCAGGTCTTGGCAAGTTAGAGCCATTAATAACAGAGGGATTGTCAAATGTAAGTTTGCTCCATCTAAAGAGGCTGCACCTTCTGTTTTAAACTTCGATAACTTTATTGTTGTTGATAACAGCTTGTTTTAACTGAAATACATAGTTTAGGCACAAGGTGCTTTAAAATTAGATGAAAGCTATCTCTGTAAGTGTATCTCTAAGATTTTAAAAAGCTCAGTGCACTGTAAGTTTTCTGTTATCAGTTTATGTCAAAGTAAGATTTAATCTAGCCCTAACCTGTTGTGGACTTTTCCCAACTCATATTAGGAAAAATATCAGTTCTCATATTTCTTTCTCTTTTATCCTTCTACTTAGTTTCAAAACAAAACTTTTAAGCTAATTTGGGTGCTGATTTTTTTTTCCCCCCCACAGAGTATTTATTAACCAATATACAGATAGAGTTACAACCTTGTGAAGTTTGCTTGATTAAAGCATGCTTTACACTTTAATTTTAAAATTAAATTAATATAAAAGTTGTCTAAATCTTGGGAAAAGGGAAATGCACTGAAATTGCTATTCATTTGCTATAAAGAATTACATCGTAACATAACCTGTGTTTAAGATCTGAACCTTCAGAAATTTCGCCTATTGATGTGCTTTCATTCTCCATGTTACAAATAATTATTGAGGAAAGTTATTTTTTGTCCTTCCTGAAAATCTTTTCTAGTTTGGGAAACATTTTTCATACAAGCTCTACGGAATAAAAGTGGAATCACAGAATGTAATATTTGTTTTACTAGAGGCATTTTCTTTTTTATTTTTAGTTAAGTGGAGTTTAAGAGTTACGTTTCCTCCCCTCTTCTGATTTTCTTATTGTAGAGATGAATTAAAAAGTGATCAGAACCTCTCTGAAGACTGCTGTAACAATGAGACGACTTCATGTGCCAGAGATGAGTTTTGGCATGGGATGTACTCAAAACTCACGCTTGAACAAAGGTTATGCTGGAAAGGAAATTCTGCTGTGACCTGAAGCTATTCTGCCTGTAGCTTAAGTTCCTAGAGTGATTGGCTTCTTATCATAAAATGACAGAAGTGATTATAGAGGAAGGGTACTCTAGCTTGAAGGTCACTTTAAAAAGAAAAGCCTCCTGAAGCAGCATGTCTTCTGACAGGACAAAGCACCCTGGTGTGCCTCCTCTCCCAGGTCATAACCAGCTTATGTGTAGGAGTCTTGCTTTTAGAGGTGGTACAGGCATTCTCAAAGGTACTTACCTGTTAACTTCCCCCTGAAATAAATGTAGGCATGTGCCAGCCTTGTTATTTATTTATTCATGTTTCAATAAATCAATCCCTTAATATTTTGCATTTTATCTTGAACTTTCTTAATATTTAGCAAATACTGTATATTGGATGCTTTGGCTGTACAGAAGAGCCTCCTGGCTCCATTATGAAGACGCAATCTCAATCATAAAGTTGTAACACGAAACAACATCGCTTTTATAACCATTGACTTGTAACTCAGAACTGGGCCTCAGTTTCTAGTTAGCTGATATTTCATCTTAAAGGTAAGAAAAAACAATTTCTGTTTTAGAATTTGCCCAGGTACAAGGAAACACAGCTTTAACTTGGAGAAAAGTGGCATAAGCAGAGCACTGGAGCTCAGAACTTTGATATATTGTTCTGGTTGGTTCTGCACAGCACTGGAAAGATCTAGACCCCAGGCTGGTTTCCTGCAGTGAATCAAACAATCTAAAAAGCAGAGGTTTGCTCTGGATGAATCAAGATGGAAGATATTTCACCTACTCATAGGTGTTCAGTTGAGGGAACCAGAACAGTCAGGTGTAAGCGTGTGTGTGGGGCAGCTGTTGGTCCTGTCCTCGTGGCTCTCTGCTTCTCTCCTGCTCTGGTCCTGTGGCAGCACAGTAAGTGCTGATGGAGCTGTAGACCATCTAAGGACTCTTTGCTCTCCTGCTACTAAATCCATAAATGAAGCTTGTGATAAAGAGTGCAGGAGGGTGTTAGCAAGTTATGAACTGAAGGGTGTACACATCTGTATTAAAAATTATTAGGTATTTCCCTACTTATAATCACTGTCTGCTCAGGTAGGGGGAAACAGTCAGGGTTTCTTTGTGTAGAAATGCACCTTCCCAGGAGCATCAAAAGTATAAGACATGTTAAAGACAATAAAATGCAGAAGCAAGCAAGAGCAGGACTAGAGTATTTTATTTGATATATTTACACAAAAGTGTGCAAAGTAAGTTTTTTGAGAATAGAGATGAAAAGAATATATTTTACTGTAAGAGTAACTATAGGTAAACCTGATCATGCTGAAACTGGAACCTACTAGCTCAAGAACACACGGCACCATTTCAGTAGCCCAGCCTCCAAACGTTGCGCAGTATGTAGGTGAACCTAACAGCAAGTTACTGGTAGTAGGAGTTGCCCAAGTCTGCTAGTTCTGTATAAGAAAGTGTGGCAGTTACTGACAGTTTTTAGCACACTTCTGTCCAGCCAGTAGCTGAAAAACTGTCTCCCAAGATAACCTGGAAGCTACAGAGTTTATACGTAGGTCACACACATAAAGTAACACATAACAGCTTGCCCAGTGGTATTCCACAGCTTCTATGGACCAGAAACTTTTTCCAGGTTACACAAATACTCGTAGTTGATTACTAATGAGAAGAAACTTTAAATCTCTTTCAGCTACTACATTACAGCTTTCTGTACTTTTCCCTGCAGTACTTCAAGTCAAGCAGCAAGTGGAGCAAAAACAATGGGATGAAGAGTTGACAAGGAATTCCATGTTGAAGAATAAAGCTAGGATTCATATTTTTAACAACAACAAAAAAACCAAAACACAGAAAAAATACCACTCACACCACCAAACCAAAAACCCCACAACAAACAAAACCACACCACACACCCCAACAATTACCATGTGAAATTCAATTCCATGTTTGTCACGATCAGGATAAATGGGAGCTGTTGACAAGAATGGGGTATTACAAGCCTTCAGTGCTAATCGTGCTAATCCTTAGCAGTTCTAGACAGCAGTGTAGTGGTAACTGTTTACATTAAACATTCCAATTCATCAGTTGGCCTGGTTATTGTTCTACAGAATTTATGGCTTTTGCATGGCATTATAAAACCTATGGTAGAAGAAACATAATTTTCTTTTAGAATAAAGTAAGTTAATGAGACTCTTTATCCCTAATCTTCTGGTGTACTATCATCTCGAGCTGTACATACACTAGCATTAGATCACCTAAGACTTAAGTATTTCTTACACCATCACAATGAACTACAGAACAAGTTTAGCTAGAAGCTTACTTGACCCTTGCAGCTGATTAGGAGTTATTTTAAAGGGTTAGAGGTTATCTTCAAAATGTCATACCACTGTAACTAGCTTTGCTCTGCCTTGAGGGGAAGGTATTCTCCTGCAAAATGGCCACAGGTTGTAACCATTTATAAAGTACTGAAGACAGAGCTGTTGCGTTCAGTTTACATTATTTCTTAACACATTTTTAGAGTATTTTCCTCAGTCTAAAGCTGAGATTCATTCTTGTAAGACCAGTTTCTTAAACCAGATTACGAGAAATGGAACAATCAGTTGCATAAAATACCAGTGATTACTTAAGTTATTTCTTCTCCCCCAGTTTTTATATTCTAACTACACACAGGAAAAATGCTGAAGATCTTCTTATCACATTCAGAGAGTGTTGTCTATAGATACTGCTTCAGCAATATATTACATTTGATTGCTTGCACCTTTTCCATGTAATATTAATTGCAGTAAGATTCAACAATTTAGACATTTTCTGAAACTGAAGTTCTTAGCAAAGGGAGTGAGGGAGAATCAACAAGATTTGCAACTTGCCAAGATTTTGTTTCACTGTGTTGGAGTTATCACACCTAGAGCTAGGATTTGTCATTCTAAGCTGTTAGGAATTAGCTCTTTTGTGGTCCTTCTAAGAAACTTCCTTTTTCTCCACCATTTCCATTCCTTTCCCAGCTACCTGAGGGGTCAGCCGGAAGTCTAGCAGACTCAGTTTGCTCAGAATTCCATCAATAAATCTTATCTTCCAGGAAGCAGGACAACAAAGGGACAACTCATTCCCCCTGCAAGAAGGGTCAAGTTCATGAGACTCAAAAGCCACTTGGCAAAAGTCACTAGTGAAACGCTTGGCTTCTGGCACATGGCCCCTAGCTGGCACCACCATCTTGCACAGGTGATCTTTAACAAGTACAAACCTGACAATCTTCAGTAAGACAGCTGAGGAAATGCAAGGAAAATACTGCGACAATTTAAATAGAATTGCCTACAAATCAACCTCTAAAATTTATCAGATGCAAGTTTTGTGTTGCATTTAAAAGTAGATTTAAATATATTTCCCCCTAATTAGGATTTATAATACTGAATATACACTTGTAACCCAAGTTCTAGTAAAAATCTAAGATCTGGTGGTGAATTTACAGATCAGCAGTCTGTTGAGTTGCAATACATTACAGTCTTTAATACATAGCAGCTTCAGTATGAATAATACTTCACTTGTTCGCCAACACTCTGGTGATTTTTTGTTTTCTGTCATCTGACATGAGTGAGCACAAACACACATACGCAGCATTTTCTTTTTAAAACAAGTAATTGCTAAAATGTATGCTCCTGACTCCATCTTCCTATAGCATAAGTGGTGACAACACGACAATTTAAACAGAGCATTTGTTTAACAGACTTGCCCCACGTATCCTTCCCCTACCCCATTTGTCTAGGGAGGGATAATAACCAGTGGAACTACTGTCAATCTCACGTGCCACATCTAGCTGAGTTAACTT